TTTTAGCCTACTTTGACTGTGAGGAAATAAATTTCTCTTCATTAAAACCATCCACTTGTGGTATTTCTGTTATGGCGGCACTAGATGACTAAGACAACTGGTCTATGAGAAACAGAAGCATCTTAATATAACTACTCAAAAATCCTAAAATTTTATCTTTTTTCAATTTTAGATTGCATAATTGTTGAGTTTAACTGATAAAGGCCCAACATGTTGGACAGTCCAAATATACCATATAATTGGTTCTAAGTTTTTCATATGTCGAATATCTATTTTATGCCTTTCTTAAAGTGATGATTTTGTATATTTATTAAGTATTCTACAGTGTGGATGTACTAATTCTTCAGAAATCCTTTTTCTGAGAGAAATTTTTTGAACAAAAGGAGAAGTATTCATTGGAAGAACTACTAAGTGGTGTTCTATAATCTGTATAACTAAGAAATTAAAAAAATGATGATTGGCACTTTTGTCACAGTTATATATTTCCTAATTTAGGACACTGGAATTGTTTGTTTAGATTCAAAATTTCATTCAGTTATTTGGTTTTAATATGCTATTTAGATGAGGACTATGCAAATTTTACATTAAAATATTAATATATTAATAAGCATGCTAAGTAAGTGGAAATTAAAAAGTTGAATGGTAAACCATTTATTTTAGATGCACTATTTATTTTAGGGGACATGAGTATGATTTTAGTAATAAAATAACCTAAATCTAAAGTAACTGTTTTATTTCTTACTGTGTTTTTTCTCGTTTTTTTTCCGTAGGCCATAAAGAGAGATATATTGAACACAGTTGCTGATCGTTGTGAAATACTATTTGAGGACCTGCTTTTGAATGAAATTCCAGAAAAAAAAGTTATGAGTATAAAATAAGTACTTTTATTTATTTTACATGTATTTAGTTGATATAGTAACAGCATGTGAAGATATAACAGATGTCATTTTTTATATCTACCTTTATCTGTTACAGCAGTATGTCATCTTTTACCTTTATTATTGAATGAAACATTTTCACTTGCCACCCGAAAAAGTTTTTTGAACACTTTATAATAGCAACATGTGTCAGCAAGGAACAATTTCAGGGAGAATTTTATTTTTAATTAATTCTGAGTGACTGTCCCCTGCCGGAATGAGTAAACTGTGTTGGTATTTTAAATTGATATTTTGTATTAATATCTATGAGATTTTTTTGGAGTTCCTGGGTGGTGCAAACTGTTAATGCTGTTAATGGGCTCAGCTGCTAACCAAAAGGTTAGACGTTTGAGTCCACCCGGAGGCACCTTGGAAGAAAGACCTGGCTGTCTACTTCTGAAAGATCAGCTACTGAAAACTCTGTGGAGCACAGTTCTACTGTGACACAAATGAGGTTGACATAAGTTGGAATCAACTCAATGACAAGTGGTACTGGTATGAGATTTTACAAGGATTATTCCTAATTAAAATATTAATTTATTTATTAGTGTTGAGTATCATAGGTTCATTAATAAGTACTAATTTGTGGTCTATATATGATTAATCTCTTTTATTGTTACCAGATATTTTTTGGATACTAGTTTATATCAGCTGTTACTCTTTAAACGTACTATTTTTTAAATGGTACTGAATGGTGCATTTACACAAGGCCGAGTCATGATTTCTTAACTTTTTATAATTATTCCATCTTTTAGAAACTTAATAAATGCCATTTTGGTAATTTGTACTAAAAATAATTTATTTTTACTAAAAAAAGTTATAATATTGACTGTGCTTTTTGAAGCTACACCCTCATCTTTTCCCTTTCTAAAATTCAGATGGGAGTAGATTTGTAACTCACATTTGGGATATGTACATAATTGAAACATATTAGCTTAAGGGAATATTTTTATGTTTATAAGAAAAAAGCATAGCTCCTCTGTATAACTTTTTTTTAGTACAATTGATAGATAATATATTAGATTTGATGGACTAATCATAGTCTAGTTTATATTCCTAGTATGATAGATGCTTGGAATTGCCAAATTTAACATTTGTTTTGTCCCTCTGGCAATTCACGAGTAACTCTTATGATCCAGGCAATAGTAATGTATACTTTTGCTGATATATGAATTTGAGTCTTACAGCAACTGGGTTGAGATTTTTGTTTTGGTCACTTAGCCAGCCAGCCAGCCCAGCAGCCTCATCTCAGAATGACTTTGTTTTGGCTACTTGACTTTGTGTATATGGTAATTGTTGTGTGTTAAACGGTACTTCACTTTATAAGTGTCAGTGTGTATTAATACCTCTATTGTGAATTTTAGGACTTTCATGGATATGTGGATGTATCCAACTTAATGCCAAGGATCTACCTTATCACACACATTAATACTCTTTTCCATTTAAGAATACATTATAAAAATGGTATTGTATGACTGTCCTGGTATTATTTTATATTTAGTGAGTTAGTATTTTGAAGCTTTTGCTGATGCCAGTTCATAAAATTAATGGCTTTAGTAGCAGTTGTACTATTTGTCATTAAACTTAATATTTTAGAAATTAATGCCACCATCTAATCCTAAATATTTAAAAAGTCAAAAGTGTTTTCACTGGTAATTGAATGACCTTTTGGGACTGTGTGAAGAGAATAGACAGTGGAAGTAGTGTGGTGGAAAAAGCAAAGACTTTGAAATTCTTGGGTTCTGTGTCTACTCTACCATTAGCAGAATGGCCTTGGGCACATGATTCAGCCTAGCTAAGCATCCATTTTCTTATATATAAAACGGGGATTATAATAGCTAGGCTATGAGTCTGTGAGATTAAGTGAAATGATGTTTGTAAAGCACCTAATACCAATCGGTGTGAGTCATGCCTTCAGTAAGTAGCTGCTATCATGTTGGAGGCAGTGAAGGAGAAGAATTAATTACTTTACGTTAGCTGTCTTTAAAATTTCTTAATTTTAATTTTTTGTGAAGTTTAGCATTATCTTTCAAAAAGAAATCAAAAGTAAATAAATATATTTCAAGCTATAGTAGTAGTCTAGGATAATTATTCCAGCAAAATGTTAGTTAATCTTAGATAAGCTGTCAAGATAAAAGAATAATTGCAAGTGTAATAATACAAATAAATATAAATTCTGAAGTTGAATACATATATGTGTGTGTGTGTGTATATATATACCAAAAAAATAAACCTGTTGCCATCAAGTCAGTTCCAACTCATAGCGACACTACAGAACAGAGTAGAACTGCCCCCATAGGGTTTCCAAGGAGCGGCTGGTAGGCTGATGGATTCAAACTGCCAGCCTTTGGTTAGCAGCTGTAGCTCTTAACCACTGTGCCACCAGGGCTCCGATACACACACACCCACCCACACCCACACACACACACACACACACACACACACACACACTAAGTATATGTCAAATTGTTAAATTTTAGATTTTATCCTCATTTTACTTAGCTTCTCCTTATATACAGGAAAGATCTTGTAGATACTGTAAAGTAATATGGTAAAACACAGAATGTAAGACAAGAAATTAATCTGAGAATATTTTTGCACATGTAGGAGGTCTGCAAAGGGCATATTAACTTCACACTTCTAACCTTTAAAATAAACGTAGTCTTTGAATTTTGGCTGTCAGATGAAAAGAACGTAATACTTCAATGACAATAAAAATATAACTATTCAGTCCTTTTACTTGTTGTGGTCTTTCACTTCTTTAATTCCCCTTAATAAATACTGTAGACTTCATTAATTATTGTCTGTAAGCCCCCATTCAGTCCTGCCCAACTTCCCCTCAGTAGATGACCTACTCGTTGTGAAAAGCGAGGTCATCAGTTATGAAATCTCTTCTATCCCTCTATCCACATCCATTTGCACTTTTTCAGTCAGAACATTTGTAATACTGTTGGCCACAGGCAACGTGTAATCCTCATGGATTGCACTTTTTATCCCTTCATGCAAATGTCTGTTTTAAGATTCAGTTCAGATATCACCTATTCTGCAAAAGTTTCTATAATACTCCAGTATGAGTAGCGTTCTGTGTTTAAACCAGCAGAAACCCAATTCTTATCATATTGGCTTAAATTAAAAAAAAACTTTTCTCTACTTCTGAAGTTATTCAAATAATGTTAAATTATATACTCTGACACTGGAAAATACCTGTACAATTCTTTTTTATACTTTCTGAGATACGTTTTTTTAAAAAAAGACCTCCTCTCTCATTTTTAACCTGAGACCAGTTTGAAAATTTTGACCTATTTGGATAGAGTTGCCAGTTTAACTTATTAATTTGAAAATTACAATTGCTTTTTCTCTTAATGAGTAATTAAAAAAAAATTGTTGCAACCATTTCTTTAACATTCAGTTTTATAGAATGTTTGTCTTTTTTCAGGCAAACCTAGAATTAATGTGGTTTGAAGTGGTTTTTAAATTTTGCACGCTAATTACTCATGCACATTTTACCCGTCTTTGAAAGTGTTGAACTTTACCTATTTCAAGTAATTGTGACCCAAAATAAAATAGTATATTCCTAATTTTAATGTGGAGCCCTGATGGCGCAGTGGGTAAGTGTTTGGCTGCTAACCAAAAGGTCGGCGGTTCGAATCCACCAGCTGCTCCTTCAGAACCCTAAGCGGTAGTTCTGCTTTGTCCTGTAGGGTCACTATGAGTCGGAATTTACTCGAAGGCAATGAGTTTGGTTTTTTAATTTTACTTTGTGTACAATTTATGCACTACAGTACAAATTGCAGTAATGTAATTCTGCAGCTAGGAGGCGATCTTGTCAAAGAGTAAAGTTTTCTCCCAGTTCTCTTCAAACAAGATAATAAGCAGAATCTGGAAGGAGCACGTAGTATATGTAAGTCAGCATTTCCCATGACAGTTAAGGCATTCTTTATTATCTTCTGTTTGTTATTATATAAAGCTACCATTAGTTTCTTGACAAAGAAATGTAGCTTACTATCTTTATGAGCCCTAGTTTTCTAATTGGTTTGTAAGTTGGTAGCTTTTTAAATCATATCCATTGCTGGAAGAGTTTCTTCTTTACACAAAATCTCTATGTTTGTTGACAGTTCGTTAGTATTATAGTGTTCAACCAAATAGTAATTACGTGTTTATGTGGACCGTTTCTTTATGTTAAAAAATGGGGGGAATTCTTATACTCCAGTTTGTGAATATTCAAAGAAGAATGAAATAAAGTACTCTTTATTTAGATTCAGATTTATTTTTCTAAAAATGATTGAAGGCTGTTAGCGAAGAGGCAGACAAGTCAACCAGATAAAATAAGTATTAGTAATAATAATGAGGCAAAGGGAAAATGAAAAACAAAGCAAAATGGAATTAGTAGTGAGATTAGTACATAAAACGTCTGTTTTGATGTCCTATATATGCTTGAAGATGCTTGTAAGATGAAGTCAGTGGCAAGATTAGTACAAAAATGTATGCTATATATAATAGATGTACATGGGCCACTGATATGCATAAAGAAGGGAAAAATAAGTTATAAAATTCACAGTGCTTATTATAAAGTTAAACAAGAAGGACAACTGTTTCTGAAATCAGGGAGGAAATTCTCTCCTGGGTTCTCCTTCACAGGACAGTGGGTAATACAAGAATGTAATCACTAACATCCTTACATTGAAGGCGGTGATACTAAGTTTCTGTAGGAGTATTATTTAGATACCTTGCATGACTAGGAATATCAAGGTGTAAAGCAGAATTCATTATGAGCAATTTTGTGCCGGCTGCATTAGAAATTAATGAAATAAAAATTATTGACCTTTTAGGCTTTATATCTAATAGCTTTCATGTACTTCTAAAATATATAGCATTGATACTAGTGGCAAATTCATCTAAATATTGCTAATGTTCATTCTCTTTTTAGATTCTGAAAAAGAGTTGCACATCCTCCCTCACCGAGTTTTTGTCCCCATCTCTGGATCCACTGTAATGTTATGTGATTATAAATTTGGTGATGAGGCAGCTGAAGAAATCAGAGACCATTTTATAGAGATGTTAGATCAAATGATTCAAATAGAAGATTTGGAAATTGCAGAGGAAATAAACACAGGTAATTACAAGATGTATTTAAGAAGCTTATTAGAATACAGCTAAGATTACATGAGACATCTAGTTTAAATATTGTCTTTATATTTCCTTAAAACTAGTTCTGTTTGACACTTCAAAATATTAACTGAGGTATATTAAAATGTATCTGTGTAATTTCTACATGTATAAACATACAATGTTTTCTTGGAAGATTTTACCAAAATTTAGGATAGTTTAGTCTTTTCCAAGCCTACCAAGTAGAACTTCATAAAATGGGTTTAGTCTTAAGTAGGCAGAAATATATAGCTTTAAGTTTTTTTTTTATTCTAAGAGAGACATTTTCTTAAAACTCACTGTCTTAATTAATTAACCTGGTTAAGTATTTCACAGAGTTTTTAAACTTGGTTTATTAAATGCTTGCTGTATATTATTTGTCTTTCTTTCCATATCCTCCTTATGTAACTGGGACAGTAAGCTGAAATAAGCAGTTCCAAAAATTAGATAAAGATTATTATTATAGTGAATAGATTAGCCATACCATCCAATTATGTAATATATTTTCTTCTCTTACTACTTAAAATATACTTCTTTAAATATGTTCTGGTTTGCCTTTCTTAAAGTATGTCACCCTGAATTAAAGCTAATATTTTAGTAATTTTAATCAGTATTAGCATAGAACCTACTCTGTGCCAGGCACTATTCTAAGAGCTTTACAAATAGTAAATCATTATATATCATTATAATAATGACATATAATGACATGTTATATGTCATTATAACAACCCTGTGACATAGATACTATTATTAACCCCAAGTTTCAGATGAGAAAATTGAGGCTCAGAAAGGTTAAGTAACTTTTTCAGGGTTACATAGCTAATTAATGGTGGAACTGGAATTTGAACATAGGCAGTTTGGTTCTAAAGTCAGTGCTTTTTTAAAAAACAATTATGTTTTACTACTGCCTTTCCACATGACCAAACCAGCACAGATTATAGGACTATAACTTCCCATGATCTAGATAACTTCTTTTACTTTGACCCCCTTCATTTCATCCTTTTAAAAAAATTGAAACTTAAATAGATATTACAGTATCCTGGTTTGATTTTTATCTTGATTGTGCTTGTGTAATTTCTCTCTTGTTGGTTACAATCTTGGATCTGTTACTATATATGCTTTTCATATTCTTTTGTATTCTTTGTCAAACTTTTAGTGCATATCACATTGCTGAACTAAGAATGGCTAACAGTCACACTGTATACATAACTTGCCTCATTCACACATTGCTTCAAAAATCAGATTTAAAAAAATAAGGAGAGATCTCAGATATTTTAAGACCACCATCTGTCTTAAATATTTTAACTCATTTAATTTCATCTTGTATTTTAAACATAGTTTATAGACCTGTTCATATTTTATTCACTGATTTTTAAGTTGTACTTTAAATAACAGTTGTGACCCTCAGTAATAGAGGTTAATATCCATTGTTTATACAGCTAAGATAGATTTAAAAAAAAAAAAATCCAAATAGCTTTCACCACTGTAATATATACTTAAGGAGATAATTACGGCAGCTTTGTGTGGAATAACCTCCCTAAAACAAAACTAAAGCCCACGCTACTTGGGTTTTTAATAAATTCAAACTTCTTATGAAACCATTATATGTATCTTTCAACAAACATTTATTGATTTTCCATGAGATTCCTTTGCCTCTGTTGTTTACTGCTGTATTTCCAGAACTTTACTAAGAGCCTAACCCTCGCACATCATAGATACTCAGTAAATATTTGTTGACTGAACAAATTATTGATGCTGTCAGTCTGAGGACTAGGGTCCAAAGATCCATAAGACAATGACCCTGTCTTCAAGGAGCTAAACAGAAAAAAATTTTAAACCTGTTTTTTTTTGGGGGGGGGGGGGGGGTCATTAAATTTTTTAGTATGTTCAGACTGGGTTAATTTCTCTATTTATACCTTGCCATTGTTTCATGTTCTGTATTACTTTTTTACATACTTTGCATATATGTAATTATTTAAGTAATCAATTAACATGTTTAGTGTTGATCTTCCACATTAGACTAAGATTTTTGAGAGCAAGTACCTAGAATGTTTATTTCTCTATCTGAGCTGTATGCCTAAAACATGGTAGATATTCACTAAATATTTGTTACTGACTGACTGACATATACTGAATAGGGAATTTTAGGAAACTAGAGCATATTTTATTTTCAAGCTTATTACATGCTTAAAATTATAGTAAAATTATAAGCCTGTATCTCATCAGGCATAAGATTGTTAAGATTTGTGTAGTGCACTCTACTGAACATGATAAAGATTTAAAGAGGATATGATAGTGATAGCTCTATGGCTCAATAGTTCAGAACATTTTAAGAACATAAAACATATAAAACACATGAAAGTATGTAGTATTATTGTTGCCCTGAAAATATTAATTGTAGCTTACAACATTCATTCCATCTATTTATCAGGTATTTATTAGGCATTTACTATGTACAAGACAGTATAATAGAGACAAATCAGTAAAACCTGATTCCTTTCCTCAAGACCTATAATCTGACCAGGAAGCTAGAATGTTTATGCATTGTTAATTATGCAGAGACTATAATAAGGTCCTAAGAGTACCTAGGGACTTAATAAAGATTAATGATAAAGGTTTAGAGTGTCCAGTGATTTAGTTAATAATTCGATCAGAATAATGTTTCAACTATAGGTACTGACAATAGTCTATAATCTGTGATAACAAAGTTTTAGCATTGATATGTATTTTCAAATTTTAGTAAATTCTCTTTTTCTTCTTTATTATTACATCCTTTATGTTTCAGTTGAACCAAAAGACACTGAAAGCGCACGTGTCGTAACTGATGCTCTGTAATACAGAGTGGTTCATCCCAATTAACAGTTCCATACTTTTTAATAGTATTCATAAGTGAATGATTTTTTTAGCCTCAAAGTAATATACTTCTTGTCCATTATTATCATATTTAAATGCTAGTCCCTAATGAATAGTTTTTATCATTTTTATGGATGGAAGCAAACCGCCAACCTTTCGGTTAGCGGTGGAGCACAAAGCGCTTGTGTCACCCGGTATCCTAGATGTATGCTGCATATATTTTAATCTTGCTTCTCAGCTTTCCCGCAGTAAGCCTTTATCATTAGTAGTGTTTATATGGTGTTAAATACTAGCACAAACCAATAACTATAAAATATTTTTAAATAATTTTTTAAATGGAGATAATATAAATTTTAATCCATTTACCTGCTGTGGATTTTTATTTTCATAAGCTTTCAATATTGGAACTTAGTTGTATCTGTTTCATACTGTATTCTGAAAATTTTTTACTGTCTGTATTTCTCTTTTTATGTTGGCAGTCTAGTGTAGAGATGGATTAACTGAGTAGGAAGAGTTTAATATTAAAAGGACAAAGGAAAGAAAACAGCAGTTTGGAAAGTTTAGGTGTGTAACCTTTGTGTATGTGTATCAAACTCATGGTTTCCAGATGGTATTATATATTTTTCTAATATTGTATAATGTATGGAAGATAATACTTAAAGTATGATAGATATGATCCTTTCACGACTCTGCCCTAATTTTGAAACTTATATGAATCTTAAATGATTGATTAATTGATTACTATTTGTTGATTACCAATTATTTATTAGGAACTGGGGTTCTAGAGATAAAAGATATAGTCTCAATTTTCAAAAGCTCACGGTATAATAGGAAATATAGAGAAATGAGTTATTCTAAAACAGATTATTGGGTCTATAATAGAAGAATGAACAGAGAGTTATCAGAACATAGATGCATTATACTTATAAGGGATTCAGGGAGTTTACCCAGATAAGGTGACATCTGTGATGATTTTAAAGTATGAATACCATTAAAAGTGACTCTAGGCTTTTTAGAAGTTGAACACTGATACCAGATTTGCAGCCAAGAATATGACTTGTCTGGAATTATATTAATTTTGTTTCATTAAGTATTTGTTGAATCAGAATGAATAATAATTCATTATATTTTAGTAGAGAAATGTCACGTTCCAAAATTATGGAAAGGGGTAAAAACATAAAAATTTTGGTAGGGAAATTATGTCTTTTTCCATAAACATTTTATTTTTGGTTTAGCATTGTATTCACTTATTCATTTATTCAGAACTATTAGATTCCTTACTTGTACCAAGATACTGTTAGTTTGAGTCTAAATCTGCCACTTATAGCTGTGTAACCTTAAACAAAGGAATCCCTGCTGGCACAGTGGTTAGTCACTTGGCTGCTAACCTAAAGGTCTTATAAACAGAAAGCATTATATAAATATAGGGTGATATTAATGAACATTATTATTAAAGTTTTAAATAATCTGAGTTATAATGAAAAATATTAATATTAAAGTGTGAAAGTAATGTTTTATAATGTGCATAGATTTCTCTGTTTGAAATTAGGATCTCCATATAAAATACACTGTAAGAAGTGGAGTTCAAGTGTTCAAATTCAAAAACTGAAATCACTTACTATATATTTAGGAATGTTAAATTAGTTACAGTATCTGACTTACTACATATTTAGGAACCTTAAATTAGTTACAAGTGTCTGGCTTTATTTTCAAAGTACTTGACACTATTATTTGCTTTGTTGTTGCTGTTGTTAGTTGCCATCAAGTCAGTTCCGACTCATAGCGACCCTGTGTACAACGGAAGGAAACACTGCTTGGTCCTGTGCCATCCTCACGATCATTGCTATGTTTGAGTCCGTTGTTGCAGCTGCTGTGTCATTTTGTCTCATTGAGGGTCTTCCTCTTCTTCACTGACTTTACTAAGCATAATATCCTTCCCTAGAGACTGGTCCCTCCTGATAAAACCTGTTAAACCTGTTGCTGTTGAGTCGATTCCGGCTCACAGCAACCCTATAGGACAGAGTAGAATTGCCCCATAGGGTTTCTAAGGAGCAGCTGGTGAATTCAAACTGCCAGCCTTTTGGTTGGCAGCCAAGCTGTTAACCACTGTGCCAC